CCACGCCCTCTTGCACACCGTCTACGTCTTTATTGCCCGTGATCTGCGTTTGTTTCAGGGAATCTGTGGGGAGGGGATAGATAGTTAGTAATCAGCATGCATACATAGCATTTTATATTGCGAAATACATATATAAATACCGGCTGGCTGGATGGATTTTGAGAATGATATGGGATATGGGTTTTAGGATTTGGGATTTGGGGAGGCATGGAGATGGATGGATGGGAAAGGAAGGAAGGGGGGGGTACCTTTAATACCGTACGATGTTCTGTTCTCGCCGAACCAGCTCAGGTATGTGTTTTCTATCCAGCGCATTGTGGATTCGTAGTAGGAGGTTGACTTTTCGGGTTCTTGTGCCCCTGGTACTTGGATTGGTGATGAGGAGGAGGACATTTTCGATGTTTATTTGCTTTGCTTTGACGGTTCTTTGTATGTGCGGGTGGGTGGTTGTGAGATTTGGAGTTGGGGAATGTGTGGACGGAGTAAGTGAGTGGTGGTTTGGATATAGATGTAGGTAGGTGGGGTTATGGAGGTGTCTTGTTGTGGCTGAGGGGGGTGAGGGGAGGGGGAGTGGCGTTTATGATATAGAAGGAGGGGAGGTCCTTGAAGTTGTACGCTTCTGCATGATTAAAGGGGGTTTCTTGCTTTATGGAGTATGACGTTGGCTGTGACAGGACAGGTTGTTCTGGACCGCAGGATGGGTGGGTGATGTGTCTTGTGACAAAGTATGTTTGAGTTGGTAAGTTTATTTTCTTGAAAATGTTATATTGCATATGTTATAGGAAGCTAGAATTTGAACAAGTATATTTGAAAACGTTTTAATTGAGTTTACTTGTATGGGAAGTGCATCATGAGGATTGCTTGTGACAATTATGTTTCTTTATACATTCTCCTTTTATCCTCTTTAAACGGCCTGCGTCTTGTTCCTAATAGCGAGGTTTGCTATAGTAGATGTAAGGATTCCTGTTACTAGTCTTGAAGAGTTAAAGTTGGATAACTTTATACTACTTTGATGTTTTCTATAGCAATAATGCAAATAAGGCTGTAGATATTACGGGGGTACTACTTATACAATAGGACGATAATAAAGCTGTCTGATTTTATTCAGCAGGATAAGAATACAAAGCTCTTATCCTCAAACTTGATTATGATCGAGATGTGGTTAGGTAAGAATCACGTGGATAATAGACCTTGATTTTGGTTCAGGGATTAAAAGATCTAATACTAGTTGAGCAAAGATGACGCCCCCACTGTCGTAAGCACACCAATACTTACGAAGTAAGTATAGCGGGGAAAGCTGGGGCACGTTGGATTATGACGCAGAAAATGCAGGGGCCTAGAACTTGACGAGGAAAATCCCGCGATAAACCTGTTTCCCGTGCCATCCTTTTCACTTGCTTCCTTGAAGAGGATCCGTAGTCTATCGTCATCGTTCATGAACGATTGATAAATACTGGTGAATTCGTAGCTAGGTCGAACCTCTTTCTTTCCCTCTTTTCATATACTTTGAAACCACTTGAACATACATACTAAATACTAAATCTCCTGTATTATTACCAATTAAGCGCAAACATCCTCACAATTCCCCATCTCCAAACTCTAGCACTTCTAGACGCTTCATATACAACATGTCTGACGGGTAAGCAACTCTCCTCTCAACTCCTGCCTTTTCGAAAGAAACTAACCCCCCAGCAGAGAAAAGCAAAGAAACAATGTGGAGGAGGAGGAAGAATACGAGTACGCCTCCGAGTCAGAACAAGAACAACCCGAAAAGCAACCACAACAACAAGGCCAACGCACGATGCAACGCGCGCGCCAACAACCACAACAACAGAACTTCAATCCGGCCCAGCAGCAAAACCAACAAATGGTACAGCAGCAGCAACAGCAGCTGCAGCAACAACCGCAGCAAGACGAGCGAGTCACAGGCAACATGGGCGGGCGCACCGGCGCCATCAGAGAATCGCGTATCAAGGACCGGCCACAGCCCAAGGAGCAGCGGGAAAGCAGTCTGAAGATCAAGATCGAGCTGGATCTTGAAGTCGAGGTAGATCTCTATGCCAGAGTGAAGGGAGATGTTACCATTGGGCTCATGTAATAATATGTTGTGTTTTCTCTGTAGGTCGATCTTTATGCGCGCGTCAAGGGAGATATCACCATTGGTTTACTGTAGGCAGTAAGTTGGGTTCCGTGGTGAGGACTTGTTTTAGTAATGCGGGAGTAGGAGATAGGTTGTTTAGTTTAGCTGTGCTGGGACTGGGGGGAGTTACTCCGTACAATGTAAATCTTGTACCTCGTTCTTTAAAAATAGATACCAAGCATGCGTTTTCAGTCTTTCAATATTCTGCACACCTTCATGTAAGTCGTATAACGAGTGAGTGAGTAATGTGAAGCAAGTAAACAACCTGCAGTTCGAATTCTCACCTGACAGCGAGCGCATATGCACACACGGCAGACGTTAAAACCAGCCTCGCTAATTCGTCCGCGCGTCCGCTTAAAAGGGGCGTAAGCGAGCTTCCCTCTTTGATATAGCCACGCTCAAGTAACCACCAGTAAATTACTCGTACCACAGATGTATATACATCGTATGAGAACAACGCCTTTGTGTCGCCGCATGTTTTGTTTTCATAGATGGGAGAGGGGCGGGAAGCGGGTTTGTGTTGCCATTGCGACACAACAGACGGAACGGAAGGACCACGCAGGTTTATCCCGGCACCGGATTGATTGATCGATCGACCACCCGTCTGTCTCCATAACGGCTGCCAACATCCTCAAGATCCGAAGAGAGAGCGGTTTCACGCATCCACTCTATTGTAAACAAGCGCCGTTCCCTTGTTTATAATTACGGAGCAGTCTTCTATTACCTCCCCACACCACGAGAGCAGAACGAGTCATGTGCGTATCAGCCTTGACGACTATGAGATTTATACTTGCAAAGCAAAGTAATGCACTGCAATCGCGCCATGAATACACTTCCTTTTTTCTTCACTCGCTAGCCGCATAGAGCTTGCTAAGTTATAATTATAAATCTGAAACAATTCCTTAGTATTTATGTAATTTAGTTCCGAACGATACGGAGCACTTGAAGAAGTGGTATCGCGATAGCGTCCGTGCGACGGAAGGAATACCGGGTCCAGACCAAGCTAAACTGTCAGCTCCAACTAACTTTACAAGGTTTAGATCAGGTTTTCATCCCAGCTGAGCGGTTGACTAGACGGGAGTTCTGGAAGGAAAGAATTTCTTGAAAAATTACTTGTAAACTAGGCTAGAACAAGCATGGTTTTGCTAGTTTACAGCTACTTGGGGGTAAAAAAAGAAAAGAAAAAAAAAATATTACTTAGAAAAGGGCGATTGTACCTATCAATCTCGAGCTTTTGAAAATCTTAGCGTTTGGGATTTATTAATACGAAGTAAAAACAAACACCTTATTTTCCGATTTGGTAAAAGTAATTATATCGTGTCACGGTACAGAAAACGTGGTTTTTGCACGTGCATACTATTATACTCGGTAATTGGTAGTAGAAAGATTTCGCGAGTCCGCCCGCGCAACTTTCCTTCAACTCGAAAGAAAAGATCTCGATGCAGAAATAATGGGAAGGCAAACAGCAAAAAGCGTTTCTTTCTCACTGAAATTACGTCACAGAGAACGAGTGGATGCCTGCCAGCCACACCTGCGGGGCGTACGGTGGGTAGACGGTGCGAGCTGTGGGTTTCCGAGTGGATTTCCCGCACTGCATCCCCACCCGCTGCCAGGTACCCTGGGACGATCAGACTGGGCGTACCCTTGCCACAGTTTGGTAAGGAAGAGTCGCTCTAGTAAATGATTATACATCGACACTAGTATGTTGCAGTGATGTCTGTTTTGGTGTTTTCTGTATCTGTCAAGTTCACGCTTCAGCGCGTCCGTTCAACACCATCGCATAATCTCCCCAGCAAGCGTGCAAAATGGCTACAGACGTCCCTACTCCTCCCACCGCAAGGGAAAATGAGACGTCTCCGGTCGAAGAAGGTCTCGGATCGCTTAGTTTAGACGATCACGCAGATGAAGACGTCCAACCACTTGGTTTGAACCATTACACAGAAGAAGCCGTCGAATCCCCTGCTTTGAGCGGCCACGAAGAATCATTTCCTGCTAATACCTCGACGCTTCCGACGGATTACTCTGATGTCCCTTCGAACAAGTCCGACGATTCTGGGAAACAGAAACAGCGACGGAAATATCAACGTGGCGGTAGGAAGAAGGGATCACAGTCGAATTTACCAGAGGAAGCAGAAGAAGATGGAGGGGCAGACGGCGTCGAACCACGGGTGAAATCGTCCCGCAGAACAAGCGGCAAGACGAAATTGAAGCACCGTGATTCGAATTCGACTACGGGTATAAAGGCTTTTAATTTGAAAAGAGCGGAATCTTCCGGTGGTAGACCTTTCGGGGTGTCGGTTGAAGGGCAAGATAAGAGGGTGAGGAATAAGTCGAAACCGAAATTGAAGCATAAAGCGAAATCGAAGAGGGGAAAGCAGAAACAGAAGGAGCAGGAGGAAGAGGAAGAGGAAAAGAGCAAGGAGAATTGGGAGAGTGAGACAAGTAGTGAGGAGGAGAGTGAAAGTGAAAGCGAGAGTGAGGAAGAGAAAGAGAAAGAGAGAGAGAAGGAGAAAGATGGGAAGGGCAAGAAGAAGAAGAATAAGGAAAAGAAGGAGGAGAAGAAGCCGCTGTCTATCAGATTTGATCTTAATATCGAGCTGGAGATATTCTTAAAGGCCAAGATCAAGGGTGATATTACTGTTACGTTTCTGTAAGTGTTCTTCCCAACGCACGACTTCTTAGTGTTGTAGTACTGATCCCATACGCAGACAATAATTCCGAACCATGAACTGCTTAATGTACATCATATACATGGAGGATATCGGACAGTTGAGGCCAGATTTGACGGGCGGAACTAGATTCCCAGGTGATTCTGTAAAGACAAATTCTGTGGTGAGGTAAAGATAGCTGTGAGAGGCCAGCTCCTCGGAGGGAGGAATTCGAGCTAGTGGTCGAGCAGTACGAAACAATAATGGCGAGGCATGACACAATGAGGAAACCTGTATTTGTATATATTTAATCTTGTCTACTCGCAACTCCGTTCTATACGTAATCACAAGCTCTCGGTTCTCGAACCACGATATTGACTCCCCTGCCAGTCTACCCAGATCGGAGACCAACCGAAGATATAATCTCGTAACCAACTTCATGCAATAACGGTCCGTACTAGTGCTCTACTCCATAAAAGTACAGTACCCATAAGCACCCTAAATAATATCTTGGAATTAGTATTCTATTCAACGGAGTCCCTCCGTATCTAAAACTCCATCTCCATAAAAGTGACGCCACAGATGTGGCAACTTCGTGCTTACTCCGAGCTTCGAGCTTGAAGCCCTAGTACAGTAACGCAGCAGCTTCGTCACGCCCCCCTCGCCAAGCACTAGTAAAAACCCCCCCGTTCCATCCCATCCCAACACAGGCATACTCCGTACCCATCGCGTCGACTTGCACCTACACTTGTGCAGATCTTTTCGTATACAAAATTGCTGAAACTAGGCCTCACAAGTACTCCGTATAACAGGTTTTGTACAAGTACGTCAAACGGAGATCGCCATGTATGTACGCAATGAGTACGATTAGCGAATCCCATCGTAGACTACTACACCCCACTACAGGACAGGAGGTCGATCATGACAAGTGTGTGGCTGAGGTAGGGTTGGCAGCCTTATGGAAGGAGGTGGGGAAGAAGAGAGGGAGGGAGAGATATGCATGAGATGAGGGGAGGTAGAAACGCCGGTCTAATGACGTTATGTCTGATCAAGTGTGGAATTCATTAGATCGGTATATTTAAACATCCCAACCCCTATCTCCAATCCCCGAGTTCTTTTAAACCATACCATCCAATATACAAAACCTCATCTCCCTCAAACTCAAATTACCAAAACACCACCCTCTCTAAATCCACATAACAGCACAAACCTCCACAAAACACAAGACAAATACACAATGGCCGGTCTCCTCGGAAACGTAACCAAAACCGCCGACCAAGCCCTCAGCGGCGGCGAAGAGCAACAAGGCCAAGGCGGGCTTCTAGGCGGCGTCGGCAAGACAGTAGACGGTGCTGGCAATGCAGTTGGGCAGACGGTAGATGGCGCGGGCGGTGCCGTGGGACAGACGACGAAGGGCGTGGGGAATGCGGCGGGACAGACGACGCAGGGTGTTGGGAACACGGTAGGGGGAGCGACGGATCAGGTGGGGGGAAAGTAGAATGATGGAGGGGAATGGGAATGGGAATTGGAAATTGGGAATTAGGTCGGGTGGGATGTATATCAAACTGTTGCATAATGAGAAAGACATTATCTCTCCATAAACTTTACTGAGATCATCACTTTGCAAAACATTTTCCCTTGACAATTCCAACCCTACTCATATGACTGTCGTTAAGTGAGCTCAAAATATATAAGATTCGATCGAGAACTATCACGTAGACTGTCTCTCCTTTCAACACTTCCTCCACCACAAGGTCCATATCCCACAACTTTACAAGGGCGATGAAAACAGTGAGAACAAAAGATAAAGCTACCTCAAGTCTCTAGGAAGATCTACGCATTGCATTCGATAATCCAATGCTCAATCTTCTAAAGTGTTAAGGAGCGTAGCAAGTTAAGTCTCCCTGCACGTACAAGTAAACTTCATATCCAACGCCCGCCAATCATAGACGCCTAGATTCTTCTTGCTGAGGGATTCCCGTATCGGAATATCCCTCAAGTATCTGGTGTTCACGCGGCCTTTCGTCACAATCCTCAAGTACGTCCGCGTCTGATCTCTGAAAGCGCTATGAAAACCAGTATCTTTCCTTCTCCACGAGTTCCTGAAAACGGACAGACACCCAAATGAAACAAGCAAATATACAAACATACGCAGAATATTCACTCCCAGCTCTCCTACCCATCTCCCAGTCTTTCAGAAAAGAAAGCACTTGCTCAACCAACAACTCGGCATGCGCCTCGGACCCGCACAAGAATCCAATACATTCCCCCAAGACGCTTCAAACGACTCGCTGATCCACTCACTCTTCCGCCTATACAGTAGTACCGGTATCTCCGGCGCATCTCGAAACATTTGAGACAAGTTGCACTCTTTCACGATGAGTGATAGCTCATTATACCGATCACGATCAAGCGCCGCCATTCCGAAATATTACCTGCCGCTATCACACAGCACAATATGAGAAAAGCAAGTGCAAGTGTAAGCAAGGCAAAGGTTGAAGGGGTGGGCAACGCATATTTAATACTACGTTCTTGGAATTGCTAAAGCTGTCTGTCAAATCGACCGCAGCACTTGCCAACAAGAATCGAAGAGAAGACTATCTACACACATCAACAGAACTGAGCGAGAAAGTTGCAAGTGAAAATTAGAACCGCGTTCCTTGCCTCGTTTTGTGACCATAGCCTACAGCCAAATACCGAAACACCATGCCATGCCACCATCCGACCTCCACGTTACTTTCCAGGACGCCACGCTAATTATAAACTCAACTCCTATGTGAACACTCCTATTTGAACACTCCAAGCCTCTAAGGCTCCATGTGCGACCATTCGGGAATGAGCTTAATCTGCGCCCACATGAACTTCTCCAATTTATTTGCACTCTTTGCATACGGAGTCGTCTCATTATTGTACTTCCTACAATTGTCAAAAATCTTCTTTGCATCCTTGACAAAATCGTCCGGTGTGAGATAGTGGTCTTTCTCAAGTCTCTGTTCCATAGTGGCGAGATCCATTGGGTCAGTGATGACTTCGTAGTAATCAGCTACATCATCTCTACTGACGGGATTCAAGAATGGCCAAGACGAGGCGTGATTTTGCATGTCATTCAGAAGATGTAAAAGTTGGTTGTAGTTTGGTCCATGGCGTGGTTGACGGGCCAGCTCGTCCATGTCAGGGGACCACCCAGAAGCTCGAATTGCATCAATAGACATGGGGTTTATCTTACAAACCCCATTCTTCCATTCCTTGGGAGGTTGGTGGACTTGGTGACTTTTGCTGAAAGCGCGGATCTTTGCGTGGACCGCCTCCTTTTGCTTCAAAATCATTCGATCCATTTCGAGGTAGCGTACTTTGGGGAGCATGGTGCACTGCATAATTGTTCCTCCTTCGTAGTCCTTGATGTATCCCATCCATTTTGATTTCTCCAGGGTAATCTCTTTTGTAAATCCTTGTTTCTTGAAGTAACCAATGGCATAATTATCTGCATAAGTGAGGAAATGCATAACGTCCGAAGTGGCCTTGACGTAATCTTTCAAGTGGGACATAAGATGAGCTCCGTACCCTTTCACCTGCTGATCTGAGGAAATGGCACAGAATACAATCTCGGCGAATTGGCGTCCTTTAAAGGGGCGGTATGTAATACCTCCAACGACCTCCAGAGGTTTCTTGACAATAGCCATGGATAAATGTGTACGATCGTAGACGAGTCGGGCTATATAGTCCTTGGGCATCTTGGGAAGTTGTTTTTGGAAAATGCATTTAAGGCCAGTAAGGATGATCAGACTTTCGCGTTTATTATCGTTGTTCACAACTCGGAATTCGATTCCCCCATTTCGTTCTTCGAGAACTGCAGGCTTTGAAAGGTCAGAGACGATATTATTTGGCAACAGTTCACGTACCTTTTCTGGGAAAGCAATTGGTTCTGGAGCCGGTATGACGTTTGTTATAGGTTCTGGTGTATGGCTGTGGGAGCTCTTAAGTCTTTTGTTACCGGATGGAGTGCTTGGAGGCTCTTCTGCCTTCCGTTTGGACGCTAGCAAGTTGTCAGTGGGTGCAAGGGCGATGTTGCATCGAGACATACCATTATCTTTAATTGGACCCATATTCTCTTCAGTGCTACTAGAGCGCCGCTCTATTTCCTTTCCTTTAGGATTTCTGCTGTAGGACAGGCTTTTGTCAGATTCCCCTGTCGGAGTCGCAGCCTCGCCTGAGACGGAATCTTGGTGACTGGCGGGGGATCCAAGGAAAACTTCTGCGAGTTCACTGGATAGATTATCCCCGTTATGACTATTGTTCTTGGAGTTCTTGCGCGGGGAGCTGGTGGTTTCTCTGGTGGTATTTCTGCCCTTAGATTTCGAGGCTGAGGGGGCGTTGACAGCCTTTTCCGAATCAATGGAACTACCCTCGTCGTAATTCACAGCTCCCCTGCGATGTCGTGGCGATGTAGGAGTGTCCCAGCGAGGGCCAAGGGTATTCTGGAGGTGCTTGGGGGTTGCTTGAGAAGCCATGTTAGCAAATGCTGCCTATATTAAAGGTGGGGAAATAATGCTGAGGAATGATTGATTGTGGGAATCTGCTGGCAGGAAACTTACCAAGGGAGAGAGAAAGTCACAATTGAACCCTTTTCAGTCTGCGATTTTTCTTCAGTCCTTTGCTCTTGCCGTGGGTTGTGAGGTTTGCCAGTGATGGTATTGAGGTTGGTCGTGGCTACCTCTGCTGTACGTGAAATCGTGGAGAGAAGTGTTGGAATTGGTCATATTTCCCCACTTATAGCTTAGCGTAAAGCTTGATACCGGACAATATTTCTACCGATACCGATGCTAAGCCGTGTTCGGTGATGCCAGATCGTTTGCGCGTCTTCTAACAACTGCGGACAGAGGAATGAAAGAATCCGAGCTGTTCCAAAACTCCAAACAACAACTACCACCAGTTCTTGGACATTTACGAAGCTTCATCCGGCACGCCGCATCAACGAACACCCCCCGATTGAAATCCCACTTCCCAGCAAAAAGAAACCCACGCTTATGGAGTCATCACTGCATCAGGTCTGGGAGAGCGCCGTCGGCAGTCCTTTTGTACCAACCGTCGGAAAGGGCAGCCAATTCTTCCTGGGGTTTTCTCTCTTGACAATTGGGTTTCTTCTCACTGGATTATTCGGCTTGAGTGAGTAGGACAACAGCTACGAAAGTGCCATTGCTAACGAATACAAGACCGTTCCGTGGTAAACGTACCAGTTATTGGAATTCCCGCCTCAGCAGCCTTTGCGTATGTACATCTACAAAGCATGTTTTCACAATCTTCCTCACATGCTAATAGTTTGTAGGTTTGGTGCAGTCTACATGATCTGTGCGGTTGGCGTTTATGTATAACAAACCCCTCGATTATCTATCCAGCGACGAATTTCCTACCACCGCGTCAATTGTACAATAGTTGGAGCATAAAAGCAGAGAAGTTCAGAACATAGAATACCCAGTGATTTACCTGCCATCCAACCTCTCCAATCTCGAACCATACACATATACAGCAAACAAGATGTCTGCAATCGTCGAGGCAGAGAATGGCCCTCCCATTTTCAAGGCCGTATCAAGTTCTGCTAGACAGCTATTTCAATTACTCAACTGCATTCGTTTCGCAACAAAAGCACAAGTCCAAATCAGCAATGAAGGGCTGAGATTTGCAGTCGAGGAATCTAGGGTCATGCAAGGTTAGTTTCTTTGCGCTCCCTATGATTCCCGTAGTAACTCTTTCTCAGGCACTGTATTCATTGAAAAGGCCCTCTTTACCACGTTCAATTGCAACCTTCCCGAATCTGATCCATCTGACGATGAGTCCATCGGCCCCGATCTCCCCAGTTTCCAAATCTCTCTTTCCGCCCTCCTTGAGACCCTGCAGATATTCGGTGCTGCAGATGCTAGCAATTCGCGGAACTCCAAACCTGACAATGATGGTGGATATGGCAGTAATATTCGCGTTGGTCGTCCAAACGCATTCAGCAATCAAGCCCTTGGCATGACAGGTGTATGTCGTCTATCCTACGCTGGCATTGGTTCGCCATTTAGTATCATTCTCGAAGAATCAGGTGTAACTACGACCTGCAATCTAAATACCTACGAGCCAGAAAGTCCGGAAGATATCCCATTCCAACGAGATGCTATGCAAGTGAAGATCATCATGCAAGCTCGTTGGCTTTTCGATGCTGTTACAGAACTTTCATCTACCACTCCAAGTCGGCTAGACATCAATGCATATCCCGAAGCACCATACCTCAGCTTGTCAGCATCAGGACATTTGGGTAGTGCGGCTATTGAATTCTCCAAAGGCAGAGAGTTACTGGAGACATTCACCGTTGCCGAGAAGTGGACTCAGAGCTACAAATTCGAGATGATCAAAGCAGCAGCTGAGGCAATGAGATTAGCCAGTAAGGTCAGCGTTCGTGGTGACGAGCAGGGTGTCTTGAGCTTGCAATTCATGGTTGAGGTAGAAGGGGGTGGTGTTAGTTTTATTGATTTTAGATTTGTTCCTTTTCTTCGAGAGGAAGGAGACGAGGATGAGGATTCACAAAACGAGGAAGATGAGTATGAGGGCGAAGAAGGTTGAGCTAGTCACTCCATATTGCTTTTCCGCAGCATAGTGAAATTTACGTTCCTCACTATAATATTTGTGACTCGGAGAATTCGTGCGGATCAGTCATCATTTCCCCCCACTCTTCAAAAAATCATGCGTTTCGATGAAATATTTTCTCACTTCAGAACTCAGATGGTTGACCACTAAATTTCAACTGTAAAAGAGTCCCAGTAGCTACGAAGCTGACAGTGCAAGGCTCAAAATCAAGTGAACGGGTAGATACCTAGTTTCGTATATGTAACCTTACTATTTTAGCTTCGCATTCCCCGCCTGCAGTAGCCTTGACTCACGCCGGCATCTTCTGAGTCTCTCATCTCAGCCTTGTACATATACAACTAGCATCTCAAACCGTCCCTCTTAGATTTTCTTTATCTCCACCTTCCATCCAAGTAGCTATCCAATCGAACGAAGAAAGCATTCCTAATCATGACTCTTACACAAACAGAACTCTCTCGTACATTGCCCCTTTCTTTTATTGATCCCTGCTCTCTGAATCTTCTAAGTTGAAAATGAGATTCTTAATGTTTTATGTTTTTTCTGGGCTCGGGCTCTTGCTTTTTGCGTTGAATTTTAGATGGGTAGGAAGAGTACTGATGAGTTACGGAGAATAGTCATAGACGCAGCAGTCACTTGCATCGATGCCGTTCCTCGTGCTGCACCGCACCGCACGATTACAGATTCTACTGTCTCATCAGCTACACTCGCCAGCGACGGCCGGATCTTCACCGGCATTAACGTGTATCACTGTACATTTCCCTCCGCCCC